AAAGACACGGACAGACAGAGAAACAAAAAGCAAGAAATCACCCCCTGGGGGGATGGCCATGCCGCAATCCCTTCTCCAATCTCCTCTCGGGATCTTGGGTGCACATGCGCCTGGCGCGAGTTTAAGCCACTGGGTCCAGGAAAACTACATGGGAGTCCAGTGACATAGCCATTATGCCAGCTGCTGGTCCTGTGGCTTGCTTGCTTTCTCTCCCAGCAAAATAAAAATAATAAAGTTAAATAAGTTTTAAGAAATACCCTTGGGACCAGCAGATGGCATAATGGCTAATTTTCTGTAGTTGATTGTAGTTCGAATCCTAGACTCGGTGGCTTAAACTCATGCCAGGCATGTGTGCATGCGTACCCAAGATTCTGAGAGAATGGAGGAGAAGGGATTGCAGCATGGCCATTTCCCCTGGGTGGTGATTTCTCCCTCTTTGTCTCTCTCTTTCTGGCGAGCACACACACCCTATAACAAAAACCTCTCAAAAAAAGAAAAAAAAAATAGCCTTTAGTCAGGCAGTCAATGATCTGTTTGTTTCCTTTTGCTGTGTAACAGTCTACCACAAATTTAGTGGCTTCAAATGGCACACATGGTTCTGTATGTTAGAAATCCAGGCAGGATGGTTCTCTACTCGGAGTCTCAGCAGGCTGCAAACTTAAGTTCTGATCTGGAACCCCAGATCCTGTTTCAAGCTCACTCAGATGGTCGTTGGCAGAATTCAGCTCCTTTATCCTCTGTGAATATACTGAAAACCACTGACTTGTACACGGGCAGTATTTTATGATACATAAATTGTATCTCAATGCAAAAAAACATTGTCATCTGTATATATTTGTGGATGTATGTATAGATGTGTATGTATATGTATAGATGAATAAAGACAAAATGAGACCCAGCACAGCAGGAAGCCACTTCAAGGAGTGTTTTCATTGTGATTCCTTCTCTGCCCTGACCAGAAACAAAACACAAATGTGCTCAAGACAGAGTGGCTCCTGGGAAGAGCTGAGGAAGAACTGAATGACTAGCATCTAGGGAGGGGGGACCTGGAAGAAGAAGGAGATCTGAGCATGAAATAACTCCTTCTGCCTCCTCACTGAAGAATCTCATTTAAAGGATCTCACGCCAATGAAGACCCTCCTGCCCCTCTGAGTCAGTATGACCAAGATGAACTGTGTTTTTCTTTTTCTAAAAAAAAAAAAGTTATGTATTATTTATTATTACTTATAATGTATTATTTATTATAATGTATTATTATTATTTATAATAATAATAAATAATAGAGAGAGAGAGAGAAAGGTACCCCCAATAGGGTCCTCATGCTATGATCTCTCCACTCCCAGCCAATAGGTTCACGCAACACACCAGCATACTCAAGGAGGTCCTGGGACATGAACTCAGGACTTCCCCCACCCCCATGCGGGTCCCGTTGCATTACCACTTACCACCACCTGGCACCATGAACGGTGTTTTGCAGAGTTGGTCTTCCACATGCTATTCTGCAATTAGGACCTTGCCATTTG